GTTTGTTGCAATAGTCTTGACTGAGTCTTCGAATTGTTGTACTAAAGATTTCAGAGCTTCTTCATTGTGCTGTTTTTATCAGTTTCTTCTTTGCTCTTGAAGTCTCCTGCTCCAACCTAAGTCTATTTTCGACCTTATCTCAATAGCTTGTTTTTCTCTATCTTTTAGTACCTGTCTAATCCTGTCTGCTATCCTTAATTGTACTGTAATACCAACTATTTCTTCTTTTAGTATATTCTGCAGTAGGTCTTCTCCATTTTGTATTGCTTTATGAAAGGCCTCACTGTTTCTTTCTATAAATGCAAGCTCTGTATACTTTAGTTTACCATATTTATATTGCCATAGTTCTTTGTAGAGTTCTTCTTCTTATATTTCAGCTTTTTCTTTTCTAATAAGTTTTTGTTCAATATACTCTGATATCATTTCTTCAACTGTTGTGTTTATTACTTTATCAGTTATTTTTGTTGTTATTTCCTGGATAGCGTCGAATAATGTTATCATGCCTTTTACTATATTAGCGGGTTTTTTTGCAGCCCATTCTTTTGCTGTTTGCTTCTTGTGAAAACAGTGACATGTTGCTTTTCTGCAGTTGTTGCTTGTTGTTGTTGTTTTGTTGTTTGCTGCGATTGTTTACCTTTCCTGCTTATATTTGTTTTTGTTACATGGTTTTTGTCATATTTCCTTTGTTTATTTTTCATTACGTATTGTGATTCTTGTATTACAAAAACAGATCTGCAATTCAGGTTCAAGGCCGAGTCCCCAATTTTTCGCAAAATGCAAAAAAATACTGACAATATTTTATGACTTCTTCTATTTCTTTGTCACTTCTGTCCTTTTCAACTCAAGTCTCTAAGAGACTGAGTGTTTTTTATAGTTCTCTTCCTCTTTCCTTAGAGCTTTGAGTCTGATTTCCTAGAGGCTTTTGTATATTTTTGAAGTTTTTGTAAATTATGATTTTCTGAAAATTTGTGTTTTGATGATCAGCAGAAAGAGAGTGTTTTTATTGCTAAAATTGTATATATTATATATATTATATATATATTTATATATATATATTTATGTATATATAAAAAATATTCAAGTTACAAAAGAAAAAACATTTTGCACCTGATTAATTCTACTTCCAGAACTATGCGAGGTAATATCTTCATATTTTCTTTTATATTTATGGTTACTTAAAGTTTGTCTATCACTTGAATTATCTGTTTCAGAGATGTCAGAGTTACAGAATTAATGATTTTTTCTTTTTTTTTATAGCTTTTTCAATTTTTTTGTACTAGTAATTGCTTATTATAATCATTTTCAGAATTACTACAATCACTATTTATAGCTAGATCCAAATTACTAGAGTTAATAACTCTACCCTTTCATATCTTTTTTTTATAGATTTTTTGCTTTTTGGTAGTGGTAATAGACCATTGTTATTTTCAGAATTATTAGAACCACTAGAAACCATACTTGGAAGCTTGTCAGTATTAGTACGATAAGAACTTTTTTTGAAACATGAATATTATTAAAGCTTTGTGTGATATTAGGTTGTTGAGACTGCTGAAGCCTTTTGTTTTTAGCTCTAAGATATTCTAACTGATTTTTTAAGTTAGTAATCTTATTGTTAGAAGTAAAAGATCTATTATTTGAAGGTTTGTTATTATTTTTTTATTTTTTCGTTTAGTTGATGGCATTTTTTTTAATAATATAAAGTTATGTAGTATTTGAAAAAGTGTAAGTTTATGATTTAGATCATTTTTCAGTTTTATATATACTTGTCAGACTTCAAATAAGATCTTGAGCGTAAATTAAAATAAATATAAAATATACAAATAAAATTTTTGCTTTAAATATTTTACAAATTTACTAAAATTCATAAATTAAAATATTTTAACCCTTAATACAAAAAGAGGTATTTATTATAGAGCTTAGTGAAGGAGAAAGCAATATTTCAATAATAGAACTTGATTTAATATCTACTGCAGATCATGAAAATAAAGTATATTGCAAATACTTTTTGTGTGCCAATAAAGATTATAGTGGTGCTTGGGTTAGCAAAAGTATACAAGTTAGGCATAAGAAAGCTCAATGCATTTACCAAAAGTCTACAACAATATATTCAGAACCATTGAATTTAAGTTATCACAGACTTCAGAGCCATTAAGCGATGAGAATAATGTTCAAATTAATAATTAGTTAAGTTTTTTATTTAATTAAATTTTTTTTTTGGTATTAAGGTGAGGCCTTGCTCATATCTTTATTAATAGTTTTTGTTATAGTATCTACAAAGAGTTGCTAGCCTTAATATATAAAATATAAAAAGTAAAAACTACATTGCAAAAATAAAAGCTCGGACTATTTTATTCATGACCTAAACCTACTAGAGTGGTCAAAGACTCACCTAGATTTTTTTAAGAAAGAAAAAATAAAATGTAAAGTAAATAGAGTATTTAATTGAATGA